GTGATAATACATAATTTGGTTCTTAAATTTAATTTTTGTACATATTTACTGAATCTTTTTACATATATACATTATTTGAATCAAAACTATTGAGTTTTATCGAATCTGTATCTTTAAAGGCTACCTCTTCCTTTTCTCACTATCAAGTTTAAACACAAATAGTCATTAAATTCAAGAATTCATTTATTTGTGTCATCTGTCACTTTATTTAAAACATGACCACTTCTAAAATTTTGAATTTTATGAGTGTAGGGCATGTATTGTGCAATGTGAAAAGACTGGATGTGCTGGAGAAATACGCTTACAACATTGCAAATACTCTTTAGATGTCTCTTTATTAAATAGCCAAAAAGAGCCTCTATACATGCAATTGAATCAAAGGGATTGTCCAAGTGATTGCAAGTACCATTGCATGGTTCAAAGAGAGAAAAAAAGATCTTCACTTGGATTTGGACCTGTCAAATATTATGGTAAATGGCCATTAAAAAGAGTATTTGGACTTCAGGTTTGTAATGTTATGGATCTTGGACCTAAGTTTTATGTGTCAGAAAAAAATATTTACACAATTATGTAACTTGTTAGATAGTTATAGATAAATCTCTATGATAAACGTTAATTTACAATCTGATAAAAATAATACAACTAACATGCAGGGGTGTAGGTAGCTACTATATTGTATGTTACGCCTCTGCATGTTAGCTATGTTACGCGTAACTAGCTCAATTTAGGATGGAATTTTTAGCCTTCCAATAGTACACTTTTAGAAATGCAAATCCTTTCAGTGATATATTTGAATTGTGTTTTATTAATATCGAATTTCATCGTTAATTTGTATATTTATTGGTTTCTTCAAACACAAAAATTTTGCATACGTCATAAATAGCTAACATGCTATAATTTTTACGTATAGTGTCAGTGTATATAACTTAACTTTTTTTGTTTTCTGGATGTATGACTATTAATAAGAAATGATATTATCTTGACTTTCCAGGAGCCTCTCTCTGTTGCTTTCTCAGCACTTAACCTTGCAAAGAATGTCCAAGGATGTTTGTTATTTTTCAACCTAAATAAGAAGACATCCTATAATTATGCTGCTTTGTGGCATATTTATGGCTTCTTGTCTGTGAATTCATGTGTTTGGAGTGTTGTCTTCCATAGCAGGTGAGTTAATTATTTGTCATAATTAATTAAGGTGTCAAATGGACGGGTTGAACTGAAAAAGTTAAAAACTGATTATAATGAATGTGAATTTATAAAGCGGTGGGGTCCATTACTTGTCCAACTAAAGTTTTTTGGATTAAGATGAGTTAAATAATAGGTCAACGTGTCAATGTTCGTTATATATATGTGTGTGAAAAACAAGTATATATACATGTCAAAGCCCACTTTTTCTACTCAAAGATCCCACTGTCCAAAATTCTGAATCCGCCACTATATTCTGTGTAAGTTGTTATTCAATTTTTTTCATAATAATAGAGAATTTGATATTATGAAATTTGTATTTAATTCCTTTAATTTTGCTACAGAGGCATGGAAATTACAGAAAAGTTAGATTGCACATCTGCTGTGGCATTACTTGGATTCTCACTAATTATATCAATACTAAGAAGTTTCAACATAAAGAATGAGGCTGCAAGAGTATTGGCTGCTTCTCCACTCTTTGCCTTTACAATTACTCATATTTTGTACCTCAACAACTATCAAATGGACTATGGTAATTTCACCATCTCATTATTTTTTCTACTTCTTTATTGTGTCACACAAATATTATGCAAAGGGAGTTGCTAACGTGACTATACTTACCTCCAACCAGGGGTGGAGTTAGAGTTTTAGCTACAGATTCAACAGAACTCAGTGGTTTTACTCCAAAACTCTTTATTTGTGTTAAAAAAAATCCACTTAATATGCATAAACCAGAACCATAAACTCAAAATTCTGAATCTGCCCCTTCTTTGTGTGCATAATAAGACTATACTCATATATGTATCTATGAATATTACTCCACATTTGATATTTGATTTTGAAACTTTTCTCAGGATGGAACACAAAAGTTTGTGTTACAATGGGTGTTGCTCAGTGGGCAATTTGGGCTGGAATTAGTCAACATCCATGCAAATGCAAAATATGGATTGTGGTTTTTGGGAGTGGAGTTGCTATGCTCTTAGAGAATAGTGACTTTCCTCCATATGCAGGACTAATAGATGCACATGCACTTTGGCATGCCATAACAATTCCTCTTACTTGTATTTGGTGGAGTTTTATCCAAGATGATGCAAAGTACCAAACATTTGACCTTAATAAGAAAGAAAAATAGTGTTTTTCAATGAGGGGTGGAACTAGAAGGCAACTTACGGTTCGGTTAGACCCAATAAGATTGTCCTAAATCTTGTATGCGTGTTAAGAAATTCGTTGAATATGTACAAGTTTTCAATTTAGAGTCTAGTTTTTAGCACTTGAAGTCGTTGTGGACTTCAGAACCTGTAAAGTTCAAATTGTGGATCTATTTCTATTTTTGACAGGGTTGTTATGTCTAAATGAGGTTGATAGGTTTTGACAAATGACAACTAAGCTTGTAAGAGAAGGAATTGATGCAAGTATTGGACTTAAAATTGCTATGAATTACAAGATTTACATTACATCCTATAGTACCCCTAATTCCATTGCTCCCCAAAATTGTTCCAAAGGATCTCTTTCGAATTTCACATCGTAATAGGATTAGTAAGGTAAAACATAGCCCTGTTATTTGTACTTTTTCTTTTGTGCGTTAAAAGAGCCATTTTTGGTATTTTATTTTGTTTGGATTGATTTGTGTCAACTAATTTTAGTATGCTTGTTAGGTCATTTTGGTATTACAGTTGAAAAACATAAACAATGCATTTTCTTTGCTTCTCTCATAAATCCTAACTAGCCTAAGAAAAAGACAAAAACTTAACTTGTAAGATCAAACTTTTGGATATACAAAAGTGATTAGTTTAGAGAGTTAAGGTGTTATTAGGCTAAATTTTTAGAGAAAAAATTATGTAGGTTTGAATAGTAATGGGAACTGTTTTTTAGAAGTTGAAAGATAATTTCTTTCCAGAAATACTTTTTAAAAACTCGACCAAATACAAATTCTTGTTCTAAACTTCTAATATTAACAAAAAAAAATTAAAATTGATTAGTCAAACACAAACTGCGACTCTACAAAACTACTTTCTCGATGAGCCTGAGTTTCACGATCTACTGAAAAGTCTGAACAAATACAAAACTTAGCTCGCAACCTTTGTATTGAAAAACTTATAGATATAAGGTGTGTTTGGTATGAAGAATAATAGTTTCAATGGAAAATGTTTTTCAGGATAAGTGAGATTCATACCTATTTTCTTGTCGGTAGGTAAGCAAAAAATATTATCCATAGAATATACATTGTATATAATCCAAATAAATATTACGGAAGGTGGGGGTGGAATAGGGGGGTGGGTTGGTGGAGATGGAGGAGGAGACAAGAGGCAATAAGGATGAGGTGAAGATGAGGTGTGTTCGATGGGAGAACACACAATCAATGAGGAAAGCCATTTGTCAAACATGTTTTCCCTATTTCCACCAGGAAAGTCATTTTACTCATTTTAGAGAAAATTATGACCAACCAAACTTGCCTTTGCACCCCTTCCACTCAGCCTCCGCTATGTGAATAAGGTCTTAATCCATTTGGGCATTCTAGGCAAACCGTAATAAGTCGCTAGTCGAAGGTTTAGACCAATTACAATTCATCACCATCTTGCCACCTCCAACTGATAACAGACTATTATATAAGTATTGATCTAAGTCCCTGCACGGGGGCGTGACTCCCGAATCGTACATGAATTGTCTCAAATATGAGGAAAAAAAAAATCGTATTGATCTAAGTCGCTGCGCAGTGGCGCGACTCCGGAACCGTACATGAATTGTCTCAACATGAAAAAAAATAAAAATTCCTCCATACCAAACACATCCATCATTCTTGCAGACCAAACCTACAAGATACTATCTGGTTACACTAATTTGCCTTTTTTTAAATTAATTTATCTGAAACGATAACACCTTTGAGCTCAAATTCACTTGTAAAAGATGGAATGTGTCACTAGGTACGTGTCTGATCCTCCAAAGGTAATACATTTTTTGAGGATTCAACACGGATACAACAACATTTTTCAGAGAGTCCGAGCAACATGGATTTTAGCTCCGCTTTGGAAGAAGACAAGCATAGTTCTAAAAATGGCAATGTCCACTGACAGAACAGAAGACAATAACCAGAATCTGGGAAGACAGATCGAAAGTAGAGAGAAGAGAAGATTCGTGTCTTGACCATACCATATATGAAATTGTCCCGTTGAGTTACCTGTTTACCTGAGGTGTAGGACGACTGCCCGGGACCTATGTTCATACATTTAGGACCTTTGAGCTTTCATGCCAACTCTAAAACTACACAACCACATATTTTTGTATCATAATCACAGTCCAAACGCTACGATTGTTTCTCTGGCTACTGTAACTAAAACTTATTATGTTCTATATTTTTGATGAAGCGTGAATTATGCTTATATGTTATCCTATTATCTAATAAAACCTTCCATCAAACTATATCTCACATGAACACTAACATGCTGTAAAAAGGTTTCAAGGTGGAGGAGAGCCGCAACTTACAGCTTCTTGTCAAACACACTAACATTTGCAAGTGATACATAACAGGATCGATAACCTGCACAACCACTGTCATCCGAGCATTCTATCAACACACACTGTACAATTACACATCACTAACAAGCCAGTAACTACGTTTTCAAATTTACAAAACTGTGTATCAATCAGTAGCATACCAATTCAATCAATTACATAATGACACGAAACTACACCTAAACATGGTTAGTTACTGCATTCTCTTTAAACATGTTCCTAAGCCGATGCCTTTTGAACTCATTTCTAAAGGTTTACATTTGGAGATAAAAAGATAATCAATAGTAGCAAGCCAGAATAACACCATATTAGAAAGAAATATCTTCTTTTGAACAAAAATTTACAAAATTTCTTGAACAAAAGGTAGTAATACTACTGTATGAGCGAAAAAAACTACTACGGAAATCTAAACTCAAACTCAAAAAAAGTTAGCACTAAACTCCATATACAGTTTAACACATTTACTCATAGACTTTGAAGAGAATGCTCAAGAACCAACCTCAGACGACTTGCCAATACGTTCAACTCCGCGACTCTTTGTTCCTTCCACCTCTCCACAAACTCGTCCGAACTTGCTTCCTTCAAAATACCACCAAGATTTGATCTTTCTCCAACAACACCATTTCTAAAATCTTTCAAACACTCATCAAACACATCCATCACCACTTTTGCAGCAATATCCCCTGCACCAAATCCTACTCCAACCCGAACCGGACCATTCACACGACTAAATTCAACCCGTTCATCCCCTATCTCCCCTCTATCCAATTCCACATTCACCTCACTTAATTTCCCATCTTCATCATCAAACTCAATATTACCATCATTCGCTTCATCTTCACCATGTTCCACTTCCTCATTCATTGAAACCCCATTACATGTCGACCCATTCCCATCTTGGTAGGGAACAATACCATATCGATCCGGGTCATAAATATTCGGCAAAAAACTAACCTTAACAACCCCAACCAAATTCGATTTCTTCGATTTCTCAGCGTTAAAAGGCGACGTATCAGAAAAATCAGGATGCCATAGCTGTTTCGAAAGATCATACAAAGCACGATCATGAGGAGACAACAACGACCTATCTAACCCTTTACTCAAACGAGAAGAAATAACCCGAAACTTCTTCCGAAGCCTACGAAGCTTCTCTGAAAGCTGAGATTTCGTATAAGGCTGCGACATAGTGTTCGAAAAACGAGTATAGAAAACATTAAGATCACGAGGGAAGAAGAGATTTTCCGATGACCCATCAAGTAGACCTTGAAGAAACCGGATCTCATCCGGTTCAGTCCATATTCGATGAAATTTGAATGGTGGGGGTTTTGGGTCCGAACCCATTTCTCCGACTCCTCCATTGGCACCACCACCTTCGCCGGCGGCGGAGGTAAAGGGGTCGTCGGTTGCTTTGCGTTTGATAGGGAGTTTATTAGGAGAAGAGGGTAAAATGGGTTGAGTTATTTGGGGTGATTGAGAAAGGGGAAGCGTGGAGTTCATGGCAATATGATTAAGGGCTGAACCATTGAAGACGAGAACAGTGCTATTGTGTTCATGAATTTTCATGAGTTAAAAGAGATTTTGATTAATTTTGTCATTTGGTATTAATTTGGTTTAAGCGTTATTTTCGGTTTAGGGTTAAGACTTTGTAAAAAAGGAGTTAATGACTAATCTAATGAAAATTTATTAGCAAAATAGGGAGGTTAAGTAATTGAATATTATTATTATTTGCAAATATTGAATTTTGTTATGTAGAATAGTGTGGAGGGATGTATCATATTTTCGAGAACCAATTTGGATTTACGATTGATCTATTATAAAAGTTATTAATCTTACGGAAAAGGGTTAAAATTGTCCCTGAACTATGCGAAATAGACCATTTATACCCTCAATTACATTTTGGGATCAAAAATATCCCTGCAGTTATCTCAAGAGACCACAAATACCTTCAAGAGTTAACACCCCAATTTTTTAGTGACGTGGCAAGCCACATGGGACTAATCCCTCCACCTAAGCATTGCCAACTAAGATTCACTACAAAAGAACTTGACTTTTAATGGCGACAAAGTCGCCACAAAATCCCAAAATATTGTCACTAAAGGTTATGAGTAATTTTTAGTGGCGACTAAGGCTCCAACAACCATTCGCTAGTAAAACCTATTTTTTCAACAAAAAAATATGATAATTAATTTTCGATTGCGACCTAATTTTCTAAAATAAATAACTTGCAATATCCATATTAAAAACATCCAATATTATTACGAAAAATAATCAAAATTACTTCTCGATTCAAATCTCCTACTATATATATATAATGCATCATTGTACATTTTATACATTTACATATGACATAAAAATAAAACATATAGTGTCTTCAAACTCCTACTTAATCGATATCATATTTGGTTTTTTAAAAACAATGAAGAAAAAAACACAAAATTAGAATTTAATGTTAAAAACTTTTAGTGACGATTTTCTGGGCTTTTGTGGCGACTGTTGTTGTCGTTAAAGGTCTAGTTCTTTTATAGTGAATCCTAGTTGGCAACGCTTAGGTGGAAGGATTAGTCCCACGTGGCTCGCCACGTCAACAAAAAATTGGGGTGTTAACTCTTGAGGGTATTTGTGGTCTCTTAGGATAACAGCAGGGGCATTTTTTATCCCAAAATGTAACAAAGGATATAAATGATCTATTTCATATAGTTCGAGGGCAATTTTGACCCTTTTCCGTTAATCTTATAAAGAGGGTGTTGGAGTAGACAAGAAGGGAGACTTGGTATGGAAAAAAATACTCATATGATAGTCCTTAGGAGATCCTTTGAAGATGTTTGGAATTTAAAGGTGTATATGTGATGCATATTAGGGCTATCATGTATATGAGTGATGAAGCCAAGATCTGAGTTAAGATAGTGAGAGATGACTTAGATCACTTTCTCATCGTGATGGGATTGCACTTGGAATCAATCCTTAGTTTGTTTCTATTTATTTTAGTGTTAGACGAATTGATGTGACATATTTAATAAGAAGTGTTGTGGTGTATGTTATTCACGGATGATATAGTATTGATTGATGAGACGTGTGGTGGGGTCAACGATAAACTGAATTTTTTTAAAAAGGTCATAGAATCTAAATGTTTTGGGTTAAGTAGGACTAAAACGGAGTATCTAGAATGCAGGTTCAATGAAGATCAAAACATTAGTCATACACTCAAGAAAGGAAGCTTCAAGTACCTTTGTTCCATAATCCAATGAGGCATTGAGACTGGAGATGATGTTGCACATCATATTGGAGAGGAGTGGATGAAATTGAGGCTTTCATCTAGGGTACTTTGCGATAAGAATGTGTCGTCAAAATTTAAAGGTGAATTTTATAAAGTGATGGCTAGACATACTTTGTTTTATGTTGTAGATTGTTGACCAATCAAGAATGTTCACGTACAAAAAATGCACCTGCAAAGATGAAGATGCTCCTATGAACGTGTGGACATACTATGAGAGATATAATTAGGAACGAAATTATATGAAGTAAGATGAGAATAACCTTCGTAGCAGATAAAATGAGGGGACAAAATTGAGATGACCCATATATATGCAAATGTGTGATGATGCATCAATAAGGATGTGTGAGAGTTGATTATAGTAGGGGTCATAACTTATAAAGGATGGATGTATGCAAAAAAGAATTGGGAGGAAGTACTTAGATAGGAAGATATTGAGAGTTGTCACACTTTATGTAGGCCAGGTAAGGGTCTAGCCCTCTCCCCTCCCCCCCCCCCCCACCCCTTTCCTTTTTATTAGTATTTGGAGTTATCATACAATTTCTTATTTTTTAATGTGTATTACTATTTATTGCTATATTTATTTTGTACCTTATCGGATTATTGTTTTAGTCTCTTACTTTTATGCATCAAATACATTTCTATTAAGCCAAAGATCTATTTCAAAACTCTTTACCTCACAAAAATAGATATAAGATCTATGTATATGCTATCCTCCACAAACCTCACTTATAAGATGATATGAAGTTTGTCTTATTGTTGTAGAATGGTGGGATCCAATATGATTTTTCTTTTTTATAATCTATAAAATATTGATAGTATTGAATATTTATCAAATAAACAAAAAATTCATTTTTAAAAATATATTTTTTATCTTTTACTCCAACACAATAAAAATACGCCATAAAAATACACAAAAAAAAACTGTTTTATCTTAAAATGCTGAGGTAAGCCAATTCATTCAAACAGTCCAGCTCTTCCTCCCCAACTCCCCGTCTCCACCGCGACGACGCCACCACCCTACCCACCCAACATCCGCAGCGCCACCCTGCATCGCCGCCCCCATTCTTGATATAATTCTCCTTCTTCCATCTGCATAAATTAAGTTCTGCTGTCATCCTCTTCAATCAACCATGAAGATAAAACTACCTCTTTGAATTTCAAATTTCATCTTATGGGAAAAAAATGAACTTATCACCTCGTATTATCTCCCCTTTAGCTTCCAATTTACTCACAAAAACTTCCCATTTCTTACTTCAATTCCACCAAAATCCATATTCAACTCATTCACTCCAAACTCTTCAAGATTCCCCCAATTCCAACAACCCCATCATCACTTCTATATGCAATTCACTACGTAGAGGAGAAAATTGGGAAGTCTTAACAAAAAAATTTCAATCTTTTCACTTCACTGACCCAATTGTTCAAGAAGTGCTCTTACAGCTCAAAGAACCTCATGATGCAAAAAATGCCCTCACTTTCTTCCATTGGTCAGCAAAAAGTTCTAATTCTCGACATGGGGTTTTTATTTATTGCATTATAATTCATATTCTTGCTAAATCTAAGCTTGTTAGACATGCCAATGCGTTGATTGAATCTGTTTTGAGGAAAGAATCAGGGGTTGGTGAAAATGTGTTTGGTGTTCTTGATTGTTTAATTGGAAGTTATAAATTAGCTGATTCGTGTTCGTTTGTGTTTGATTTGTTTGTGCAATGTTGTGCTAAGTTGAGAATGGTAGATAAGGGTCTGGATGTTTGTAAATTGTTGGATGAAAATGGTTTTAGGCTTAGTGTAATTAGTTATAATACTCTGCTACATGTCGTGCAAAAGTCGGAAAAGACTTCTATGGTTTGGGGTATATATGAGTTTATGATTGAGAAAAGGATATACCCGAATGAAATGACAACTAGAATTATGATTAGTGCTTTGTGCAAAGAAGGGAGGTTACAGAGATTTTTGGATGTTGTGGAGAAAAGTCATGGAAAAAGATGCCAACCTGGGGTTGTTGTGAATACGTGTTTGATATATGAGATGATTGAGGAGGGTAGAATTGAAGACGGGTTGAGGTTGATGAGGAGAATGTTGCAAAAGAACATGATACTTGATACAATTTCTTGTTCGTTGATCGTTCTTGCAAAGGTGAAGATGAGAGATCTGGAGTCTGCTTGGGGGGTTTATGATGAATTGCTTAGGCGGGGTTTTGAAGGGAATGCACTGGTGTACGATTCATTCATTGGAGCGTATTGTGAGGAGAAGCGGATAGATGAAGCGATTAAGTTGATGGACGAAATGGATTGTTTGAATATGAAACCATTTGGTGAAACATTTAATCACCTGATTAAGGTTTGTTCAGAAGTGGGAAGATTAGAAGAAAGCTTGAAATTTTGTGATAAAATGACAGGAAATGGGCTCCTTCCTAGTTGTTTATCTTTTAACAAGCTTGTTGCCAAGCTTTGTGAAAATGGAAGTGCAAAGTTTGCTGATAAACTATTGACTACTCTGATGGATAAGGGTTTCATTCCAGATCAAAGCATCTATAGTTACCTCATTGCTGGTTATGCCAACGTAGGTGACGTTGAGGGAGCACTTAAGCTTTATTATGAAATGCAATATAGGTCGATCTCTCCTAGTACTTCTATTTTTGATTATTTAATTATTGCTTTGTGTCAATGTGGGAGATTGAAAGAAGCGGACGAATTTCTCTCTTTAATGATTGGTCAATCCTTGACACCAAGCACTCATGTTTATAAGAAATTGATCGCGAGACACTTGGAGATGGGTGATGAAACAAGGGCTAATCAACTGTACAGACAAAGACGTACAGAGATTGATGACATACAATAGAATATTTCTGAGCTTTCTACTTTATTTGCAATGCTATCTAGCTGTATCAGTAAGCGGATTAAAGTTGTTTCGCACAACTTTCTTTGTGATGGCATTGGTGAATGTTTGTTGGCAGGTGGTAACATGATCAATATTTATCCATTGCACATGCATATACCTTTTACCCCTTGCCTGCTTGTTCTAAATCTCTTTTCTCTTTTTCTAGCACTGGATGGATGAGAGTGATGGTACAAGTGATTCCGTACTAAAGCATAAACCTATCTGGGCTACTTATAACCAGAAGTGGAAGAAGGAGAAGAAAAGAACAGTAGAAAAGAAGAAACAAGGTGATCTGCACCGCACATATTGTACCAGAGTCATTCCAGTGTGAGCGCAACAACCTTTTGTCTCACGCCTTTGTCAATTGCTTATAACTGCTGTATTGATGCCACTTCTCTC